GTCGACGTCTTCAGTCTCAATTAGCAAATAATGTTAAGCATGTCTTCAGCTGCTCATGAATATCAATATAATTCTATACATCACTTGAGGGTGGCTGTTAGAGTACCAAAAATAGGCAAGTTTCCCAGGAGAGAAATATGCGGGTTTAGCCCCTTTCTGGGCACAGGCAAAAAATGGTCCGTTTTTATATGGCTTGATATCAAGTGTAATCCTGGCGGGGCGGGAATTAGCCTCCTCCTCCTGGCCAAAAACTGCTGAATGATGGACTCGCTACGTAAAGGTTCCTCTACTGCACTTAAGGTTGGAATTTGTAGGAAACAAAGTGGATTTTTGTCTTTGGATAGTTTTAGCACATAGAGCCTTTTTATCTGGAAATGCATTTACTAAGACCCCCTTGCACAGGAATTCGCAAATGCTAATTCTCCTTGTAGATAATTATCAAAAGAAACTTATTTCCGCCGTTATGGCACCTTGTGGCAAGGGCGGCATTCCCTCGGCGCGGGAGGGGCTTACGACTCTCGTGCAGGCGGCAGGTCGTACAAAAATGACTTATGAATGTGGGTTAGCGAGGAAAAAAATTGGCATAAAACTCTGGGAAAATTTTTACGGTAAGAAAATTTAACGATCCTCAGCAGAGTCGTTCGTTATGGTGGGAAAATGGCCTGGCTAGGAAGGCCACTGGAGGTAGGGACCGGTCAGTTTAAAGGACCACTCGGGTAGAAGGCGCGTCTCCTCCTTCACCCCTGGCCTCCTCCTCCCTCACCCCTGGCCTCCTCCTCCCTCACCCCTGGCCTCCTCCTCCCTCATCCCTGGCCTCCTCCTCCTCCTCCCTGGCCTCCTACACTTGGTTAAACAGCTGGACGGTTGTGATGATTACCGTAAATGTTTGATGTTTCAGTAGGCGACCGCCGGACGTCCATAAAAAAAACGTTTCTGTAAAAAAACTCCGCCCTTTCTTCCCCCTCTAGACGTCGCTATAAGAACAACGTTTTTGTCTCCTATAGACGACCTTGTAAGAACAACGTTTTCTATGTCTTCTATTCCATCTCTTATAAGAATAAAAAAAAATTGTGATTCCAACAGACGTCTATGTATGAACTATGTCTCCGTTCCCTCTAGACGTTCCCATAAGAACGTTTTTATATCCACCGTAAACGTTCCCGATGAGAGTAGGTTATACGTCCTGTTTATGAAGGTGAGGGGAGGTTATCAGGGAAGGAGTGTGGCTTACTGGTGGTGATATGCGGTACACTGGACGGTGCCTCATGCTGGGGAAGTGTGTAATGCTGCCTCTCTCAACACACCTACACCCTCAACACCCCCACACCCTCAACACACCCATCACCACACCCTCAACACACCCACACCCTCAACACACCCACCCCACCACCACACCCTCAACACCCCAACACCCCACCACCACACCCCTCAACACCCCACACCTCAACACCCTCAACACCCCCACACCCTCAACACACCCATCACCACACCCTCAACACCTGTCACCCCTCAACACACTCAACACACCCACTACCACACCCTCAACACACCCACACCCTCAACACACCCACCACCACACCCACACCCTCAACACACCCACCACCACACCCTCTACACTGGCCCCCATTGATCGCTGTGTCCCGGTAATAATCACATGCTCTCCGCGTCATTAATTTCTAATTACGGATATTTTATATATACACATCATCTTCATCATCTTGTCATGGTCACAAATATAGGCGGAGTTGAGAGCGACATTCTCTACTTTATATCAGCACTTAATGGTACTGTACGAGTCTTATGAGACCAACAATAACATTTACGGTCTAATATACAGTATATAGTCTAATACTGTATATAGTCTCCCCAAAATCAAGCGGTGTATACACAGTTAATCTTGTTAAGACTCTGCTTGAAAAATCCCTCAAGTTTTAGATCACTTATAAACAAATTCCATTAATTAATCGCAAAGTAAATTTAGTGAGTCTTGCGTCCTGGAAAATGAACTCAAAACTGTCTCAGTGCGCTTAAAATAAGCGTCAATTGCCCCATTATCCGCTAAAGAACCCCGCACTGTCTCTTTACCCCTGAAATATACACACGAGTGAACCATTTTTGCCCGGCCACCTCCTCGGCCCACCCCACCCCACCTTGCACTCAAACTTGTCCTCTTGCACCCAAACCTCGCGTCTCGTACTCTGACCTCACTCTCACACCGGCGTATTTTGCAATTCTGATTTAACAATTTTAATGAAGTCATATCATGAACTCTTGCACTTTTTACAATGTGTATATTTAATGTAAATCTTGCACCCTGGCAGTGTCTCGTATCTTGCACTCTAGCCACACTTCTTTCACTCTTACCCTTTGAGTTCATAGTGTGTACTCTAGTTCCACGCACAGTACTCTGACCTTCCACTCTGACGTGAGCTCAAACCGTCCAAGAACTGACCTGACATTTTGCCTCTTGGCTTCACACCTTTAACTCCTTAACTCACTCTCTTATACACAAGCGTCACTACTGGCAGCGTCTTGTTGTCTTTCCGATACTAACGTTCTCTCTCACCCACCATCTTGCACTCTGAGGGACCGTGTCTTCAAACTCATCTCTCTTGCACTCTAAACCTTATTGTCATTCACTCCACCAACTTGTTTTATATCTTACACTCTATTAGCGGCTTTTACTCTACCGGCATTACCTGTACTGTATTCTAAACCAGAAGAAATAAAACTTAAACCAAAAAATCCTCACCACACATACGGTTTAAGTTATATACAATCAGTACCTGGGAGGGAGATGTACATTGGTTATGCAAATTGCACTGTGAGGCGACATCGTGTGCACTTTGAGCTGACCAACGCAACGTAAAAAAAAAAAAATAAATCGTTTCTTTTTTCTGCATTTACGGCCGCGTGTTGTGACCAATATGACCTCAGAGTTGGTAAAAGGTTCACGAGGTGTGTTTTGAGTGATGGACTCTCTCTGTGGATGTGGGTCTGTTTATTAATTTTTCCTGTTAGATTATTTTTTTTCTTCTCCCTCATCTTCCTTCTTCATCTTCCCTCCTCACCCCATCCCCCTCCTCACCCCATCCCTCCTCACCCCATCCCCTCCTCACCCCATCCCCTCCCTCACCTCATCCCCCTCCTCCGCCTTCCTCCTCCTCCTTTCCATATACTAAAAGAGCCTCACGACTCCCTCCACGACACAACCAGTTTTTCACCTCGTTAAGTAAGGCTGTTATTTATTGGTGATTGATCAGCTGTAAACGTCTAATTATGGAGTGAAATTATTAAGAGTGAATAGTTACCTGTGAGTCTTAAACAGCCAATGAATATAGATAGACACTTAAGGTGGACAGGTGTGAGAAAGGTGTACTGTACATGTTTTCATTTGTGAGTGGTGGATATAGAATGAATCTAGCGTCACTTAACCCTAACCTAACCTAACTCAGAGGGTGGTAGTGTGATCATTTAACAGGTAACATGGTTTTCGCAATCCCCTATTCCCTTCTTCCTTTCTATTTTACATCCTTCCTCATCTTCCTCTTTGTCTCTCCCTCTCTTTCTCGGTATTATGTTCTTTGGGAGATACACACACACACACACACACACACACACACACACACCTATGACGTGGCTGGGTGGTCATGCAGGCAGCTCACCCTACTCAGGACTCACACACAGGTTAAGAGAGACTGTGGTCAGGTCTACCTATCTGTGGTTCACCAGCTGCTTGATAAATAATACGACCGTGAGTGTAGGCTTACAAACGACCTGATTAAGGTGTTGTAGTACTGAGGTGTATTATAATCAGCGAAACCCAAGTCAATTTCGTGTGGGGGTGTGGGGGGTGGGGGTGGGGGTGTGAGTGTGTGGGGGTGTGTGGTGTGTGTGTGAGGTGTGAGTGTGTATGTGGGGGGATTAATTATACATAATAACGTAAGTTTAATTCAGACAAACATCGACCTCAGACAGACAGACAGACAGACAGACGGACAGACAGACAGGGGCAGACACAATATAAAACACAAGAGGTAGAGAGAAGCAGAGGGGAGAGAGAGAGAGAGAGAGAGAGAGAGAAGGAAGAGGATGAGAAGTAGAGGAAGTAAGAGAGAGAGAGGAATAACGCTGGGTCCACTCACTCAACTCACTCACTCACTCACTCACTCAACTCACTCACTCACTCACTCACTCAACTCACTCACTCAACTCACTAACAAAACACATTTATGGCCTCACTATATAAAGAAAGTAACGAGATCTCCATAAGGGCGAAATTACCCAGCCGAGCTTCTACCTATTATACACATTTTTTGCCCCAACTGCAAAAGGTTATATGAGCAATTTACCAAGAATTTTTGCATCGTATCGTTTTTTTTTTTGCGTGGCGGTGGGGGAGGAAGTCCGTCATATGTTACACACTCAATTGCCTCGCACGCAAAAATAAAGAGGGAGGGAGGGGGGGTAAAACTGAATGTATTATGGTGTGCGTTCCAGGGGAGCCTTATACTAACCCCTCCCACCACCCCTCCTAAACCCCTCCACCCTCCCCTTTCATTGTGGCAACCATGACAAGACCCCCCTCCTCTCTCACCCACCCCCTTGCATGGTGGGTCCCTGTTCTATTTTAGCAACCATGGCGTATTCTCATCCACCACCCTCTTGGATGGTGGATTTCACTATTGTGGCAGCCATGGTGATATTTCCTTTGACAACCATGGCATTATTCTGTTATGGCAAACATAGTATTGTTCGCTGTTGTGGTTAACCATGGTAATATTTTTTATGTCAGCCATGATATTATACCCTATTGTGGTAGCCATGGTATTATGTCGTGTTGTGGTAGCCATGGTATAACTCCCACCCAAGCATGGTGGTTCACCCCTTTATGGCAGTCATGGTATAATCCCCCCTAATATGGTAACCATGGCATATCCCTCCCCCATTATGGCAGTTAAGGTACCATCCTAACCCCCTGCATTGTCACTCCCACACAGTGACTACCATGACATCGCCAGCACCCCCGGCGTGGTCACCCCACCACTATGGCATGCATGGCAACGCCCACAACCCCGGCGTGGTGGCGCCCCCCAGCACTAAGACATCCACGGCAGCACTGGACCGCCAGGCACCGATGGACAAATACTCAGGTCATAATTATCAGCGGTTTTCTTGGTCTCGTTATGTTTTTGGCTTGTTTATGTTTTTTGTTTTGATTGTTTTGATTGTTTTTGTTTCTTATATCCGGTTGTTTACTTCCCACATGACCATTACTGGCTTCTGCAACACCGGTGTCTCATGCACGCTCATGCACATTTACTTCTCTGTTAATTGGTTGTGTGTAAAGGTGTCGTACTTATATATTTTGGCTTTTATGATGAATTACTGTTTATCTAGACTGACTCACTTGGAGATTAGGAACCCCAGCTTATGTGACATTAAGATTAACTACCCTAACCTAACACTAACCTAACCTAACACTAACCAAAAACAAACTTAACCTAACCAAACCCAACCGCTCTTCAGGTATAAAATTAGGGTGATTAATCTACAGGTGCAATAAACTCAAAGGTATCTAACTTTCAGATGATTCCCTTATATAATTCTACTTGAAAAAAATGAGAATCTTCAAGAGAGAGAAAAAAAAATCAAGTTAAGAATTTTAACGAATCAAAATAAAATGAAATACGAACTTTTTTTTTACGATACAGACATTATAAATTAAGTTTAAGACACCACTAAGAGATATATGTAATGTTTACAGGAATTACAAGAGTCAGTGTAGTGGATGGAGTTACCAGCGGCCTGTGTAGTGTATAACCTGCTAAAGGTGTATCATGTTCCATCTTTTGTTTGGTGCAATATGTAGCCGCTCGTGTTCTCTATACTTGTATATACCTTTGTGTTCAGCTAAATTTAGGCCCTTTTTATCATAGTATTTTGGGCCTCGTCTGGTTTATATACCCAGATGTCTGAAGGCTATCTGAATAAGCTCTCGCCAATCAGATTATAAATTCTCGTCAATCAGATTATAAATTCTCGCCAATCAGATTATAAATTCTCGTCAATCAGATTATAAAATCTCGCCAATCAGATCATTTAGTCCCGCCAATCAGATTACAGTCTCTGCCAATCAGATCATAAACTTTCGCTAATCAGATCACAAGGTATTTACCACTTCACTACCTAGGGAGCGACCTGCCTCACAATCTTTAAATCAAGTTGGAAACATTTTACACCACAGATAAAAGGATTTGACCTGATGAGTAAATAATGAAGAACAAAAATAATAATTTACGTGAAAAGTTATAGATATTATACAATTTCTTTTGCATAGATTACCACAACCCAACGTTTAAAGTCAGATTATATACACTAAACATATTATTCACTGGAGGGAATAGTTTTTAGAGGAGAGGTAAGAATATTTTTCATTGAATAACTCAGAGTCTGGTTTTAGCTCCACCAAATACACTCGGTAATCCCCCCCTCCTCCTCCTCCCCACCCCCTTCCCCCTCGCCCCCCTCCCCTCTTGCCCCCCCTCCTCCCCACCCCCTTCCCCACAGCACGCCAACAGGAGGCCGCCATCAGAATATCGTAATAAAAATGTCGGCGCAACGTGGAATCCAAATTAAAAAGCAATTACGAAAAAATAAAAACTATGGAAGGAATGCGGGGAATTTTACTGTATAATTTGGCAGTAGATATTGACTGGATCATTCATTGTTGCAACAGAGTAATATACTTAAAGGGATGATGTGTGTGTGTGTGTGTGTGTGTGTGTGTGTGTGTGTGTGTGTTACTTTTTCAATAGTGTTTGTTTTATAATGTCCGTCAGTGTCTGTGATTGAGTAAGTTTAATTATGAAGAGCGTGCTTCTGGAGGTGGCCCTGTTATGTAGAGGTCATTGACTAGGGAGGCCGTTTGTTGGACCTCTCTCACTCCTTATCTCTATCCATCCATCCCTGCATCTCCCCGTCCATCTATCCCTCCCTCCTTCTATCTCTACCTCCCTCCCTCCCTCCCCCAATCCCTCCCTGCCACACAAGTTAACGTGAACTGAACTCATCTTTCAGGAGAACGAGCCGAAAGACTCATAAGTTAACATAACAATTAACTACTCTCCATAACTGATAATTTTAGCATCTGGTTGTGGAGGAAACATAACACATTAACACGACACTTAACTTATCGGTTAACAACATATATCAACAGGGTTTATTTTAATCGTCTTGTGAGGAGAAGAAAGAAATTAAACTCATAAATTAACACAAAATTTTAACAACACTCTTAACCTATTGAGACCAGCGACCAACCTACCCACCGACGTTAAGTTTGTCATCCTGTAGTCAAAAAAAAAAAATGGTGATACCCCCCTCTCTCGCCCCCTCACCCCTCGCCCCTATCACCCACCACTCCCCTCCCGCCCCTCCTTTCCCCCCTCCCACACCCGCCCCTCACATTCATCGGCCCCTTACGGTACGGTGGGACAGCAAAAACACAGAGGCAATTACCAGGACTGTGTTTAATGTGCTTAATGTTTGCCCCCTATCTTCCTCTTCCTTGTTTTTGTTTGTTTTTTCTACCCCCTCCTCACCTCCCCCTCCCTCCTTCTGTCTTCCCCTACCCTCCCCTCTCCCTCCCCTTCCACCTCCCCTTCCCCAGAATCACACACGTTAATTGGATGGGAAACCCCACATCACCACCACACTGCACTTACAAGCACGCAAAGCTACTTATACCTAGATCCACTTAACCCCCACCACCACCTGTTCCCCACCACCACCAACCCTCCACCACCAACCCCCCACCACCCACCAACCCCCCACCACCCTACCCAACCTCCTCCACCACCAACCCCCCACCACCACCAACCCCCACCACCACCAACCCTCCACCCACCAACCTCACCACCACCAACCCCACCACCACCAACCCTCCACCACCAACCCCCACCACCACCTCAACCTCCCCACCCACCACCCAACCCTCCTGCACACCACAACCCCCACCACCAACCCCACCCACCACCAACCCCCACCCACCACCCAACCCCCACCACCACCAACCCTCCACCACCAACCCTCTCCACCACCAGTCCCTCCCACCAACAATTAACCCCCACCACCACCAACCCCTCTTCACCACCAAACCCCCTCCACCTAACCTCCACTCACCTAACCTCCACCTCACCAATTAACCTCTCACCAACCTCCACCTCAACCCTCCACTAACCCCCACCACCACCAAACCCCTCCACCCACCAACCCCCACCACCAACCCCCTTCACCACCACAAACCTCTCCACCAACCCTCCACCACTAACCCCTCAACACACCACTCACCCCCACTACCACAATCCCCACTACCACCTTCAACTCCCCAATTAACCCCTCCACCAACCCCCACCACCACCAACTTCACTCAAATCTCTCCACTACCTCACAACCCTCCACTACTAACCCTCCACTCACTCAACCCTCCACCACCAACCCCCCACTCCCCCAACTTAAAAAAAATCGATGTTTTTAAAAGCAAAATTCCAGATTAATGGGTAAAGTTTACTTGCCCAGATTAGAATTTTCTTATGGGCTGGAATCTTTTAACGCGCCAAAATCTACGATGGTCGTAAAGTGAATGTTTTATTCCCTCATTTCCTTTGTCTGGATGGAGAGAGAGAGTGAGAGAGAGAGAGAGAGAGAGAATGAGAGAGTGGAGGGTAGGAGAGTAAGAGTGGAGGGTGGTTAAGAGAAAGGACGGTGAGAGAGAGATTGAAAGAGAGGTGGGTGGATGAGAGAGAAAGGGAGAGAGAGACAAGAGGGTGAGTGAGAGAAAGAGAGAGGAGGGGTAGGAGAAAGAGAGAGATATAGTTAAGAGACAGATGAGAGGAGAGAGAGAGAGAGAGAGAGAGAGAGAGAGAGAGAGAGAGAGAGAGAGGGTGGTATATAGGAGGAGTAGAGAGAGAGAGAGAGTGTTACAGGATAAATCATAAAAAAAAAATGTGAGGAAAATATATAGACAGATAAACAGACAGACAGACAGACAGAGCATGAATGTGTATGGACAGAAGTGTTTTGTATACATTGCCGTAAATCGTACACACGCGCACACACACACACACACACACACACACACACACACACACACGTATAACATAACAGTACCTTCACCAGTTGGTACAAAGAATTAATTACATAAACAAAAATAAAATATTCTGACTAGACACTGTGTTGGTATTTTTGAAGAGTGGCAAGATGTCCTCCACAGTATATTAGGCAGAAACTCTTTAAGAATATATCGTACGTTCTGGTAATAATGCAATTAATTCTTGACCCATAAATCCCATCTTTTCTTACTTGGCAATTTTCTTAACTTAGGGAGTCATAACTTGGAGGTGTGTGGGGGGGAGGGAGTGGTGTGGCTTAGGGGGGTGGAGGGGGGAGGGAGTGGTGGTTTAGGGGGTGAGTGGGGAGGAGTGGTGTGGCTTAGGGGTGAGTGGGGGGTGATAAAAAAGAGAAATTAAAGCAGTGTATTTAATCTCATCCCTCGTAAGACAATAGACTGTGGTAAGAATAGATCGCTATATCCTAGAAGTGTGAAGCTGGGTTTTCTCTCTCTCTCTCTCTCTCTCTCTCTCTCTCTCTCTCTCTCATGTACACAAGGTCACTATCTTAGCACCGTGTATTTCTTGACCTCACAAGCCAAAGTTGTGTGTGACATCTGGCATCTCAAAGTATTTGTGACAGTCCCCTGACCGCTCTGTGTTCCTGCTTACGAAAAGTACTTTTTCTGTGAACTAAACCAAGAGAAGAATTGATCAGTTTCTTTGATATGTTGTATATAAATTACTGTATATTTGTTCGGTGATTTAACTAGCTATTATTTTTAATCTTGAGAGTATTATTATTATTGTATATCATGCACACACATACATACATACATACTGTACATACATACATACGTACATACACAAATCAACACACATACACACACAAACAACTCCAAAGTCACACGGACGTATTCCTTAAAATTAACATATAAACACACACACACACACACACACACACACACACACCACTACCATGAATGAGAGACACCTGCGGTACTAAGACACATATGAGGCAGGTGAATGGTAAACCGTGTGTGTGTGTGTGTTTCATCTCTCGCCTCTCAACACTCAAGATCCTCAATATGTACTAGAGTTTTATACATATTATCACTGATGACTTTTATAGCACTATGTAATACTTAAAAACACTTATATGACTTGGGAAATGTTTATAATTATTATCCATCACAAATATTTACTTTATGTAAGATCACTGTAAATTATAGGACTTTTATGTCAATTGTATTATGTATTTTACTACACTGTCAGGGATGCCTCATATGACTTGTAAATATATGGTATATAATTATATAATATAAATATTAACTATTTTTGTAAACACCTACACGTCATCAACACGTCGTTAACACTCACCTACAGCTTCAACACTCAACACGTCATCAACACGTTAACACTCATCAACACGTCATCAACACTCCTCTACACGTCATCAAAACGTCATCAACACGTCAACACTCACGTACTCATCATCAACACGTCAACACTCACGTACACGTCATCAACACGTCAACACTCATCTACACGTCATCAACACTCGCCTACACGTCATCCACACCTCAGCAAGAATAAAGCAGTAAATTAACTATGGTCTTCTCTTGTCTTTGCAGCCATGTTCCAGATTCCCCTCCTGCCCAACCTGCCGCCCTCAGTGGTGGCGGGGTTTCCTTCAATCTCCACTAGGGGCATCTTGGGTACGCCTACGCCCACACGCCCCTCACCGCCAATGACCACGCCCAACATTCATGCCAACCACAACTCTAGTCCGGGCATAACCAAGGACTCTATGGTCGCTATGAACAACAACAGGTGAGTCGGCCTCTATATTTACCTGGTCACCGGTCTTATCTTTCCTTAATGATCAATTTCTCTAAAGGTGTAGAGTTTTGTATATTTCAGTTTGAGATCTCTTTTTTTTTTAAGTTTTGTAAATTTATTAAGTTGTTGCCTGATGTAATTGGAAATAGATTGCTATAATAGGGTGGATGGTGGTGAGGCAGTGGGGGTAGGATCTTGATCATCCCTACGACCACCTCTGTCAGGGGAGGGAGGGGGTGAGGAGGGGGGTGGGGGGTAATGTCAGTGGATGTAGTGCTTTTAGGAAATGTCGTTGTAGTGATGTGTATATACCCTCACTAAATAGGGATAATCGTCCTATTAAGCTTTAAAACTAAGTCATTGCTATTCCTATTGAGCTTTCATAATATATAAAGTGTTTACTAACTATTGATGGTTTAAGACATCAGCTGATAATATTTAGACAATGGTTGCGACATGTCTCGTGGGTGTACTGTATGTCATATATTTGTCACAATTGTCTTCTTTATTTCTTATACAATTTATGTTTTGTATTAATTCTTTTGTTGTATGATATTCGTGTATACTAAAAGAGTCATATAGATAAATGTTGAAGATTCTTACTCAGTTTAATAATGTTTTTGTGTTGCATTCTATTGTTTTTTTTTACCTGCAGTTAATTATTAAATGGGGCAGGTGATGGTTGGTAGCCACTTAGTTTATTCTCTTCACTTCTTATTGATACTTAAGTGTGGACCAGTGTGTGTGTGTGTGTGTGTGTGTGTGTGTGTGTGTGTGTGTGTGTGTGTTGCCTCTTAACACACAAAAAATATCTTGTCTTCTCCTGCATATTTTATTGTCATATTTTGTTACAATTTATTAAACTATTTTGTTGTTTATTTTTATTGATTTTGTCTTTTATTTAATATCTTTATAATTTGTATTATTATGTAAAACATACATACATACATACATACATACATACATACATACATACATACATACATACATACATTTACCGAGCGGTCGCAACTACCTTTTCAGTAATTGCTAAACCTTAACTGCATGTCAAAACACTGTAGAGGACACCTTCCCTGGAGGCAAATTACCAGACAAGAGGTCAGTTAACACTAACCTGTAGACCACTGTAGAAGCGGCTGTTCACACCACCATGGCGGCTGTCTACCCTGACGAACTAACTCCAGCTCTCCACCCAAGCCTGGCGCCACTCGTTACTACCCAGCGAAAGTAGCGACACACACACACACACACACTGCTGTATGAGTAACTACAACTGGTACAAACTCACGCTGGGGGAAGCTTAATCAAAGTTGTAACTTAACGCTTTACCTTTCTATACCAAAACTAATGCAACCGTAGGTGTGTGTGTGTGTGTGTGTGTGTGTGTGTGTGTAGTGCGACCATGGTAGCTCCTTCCAGTTATGCTGTTGACTTACATAGACATAATCAACACTGACCAGCCGTCTCACGTGACCTCGATCCTGGGAGTAAACATCTCAAGAGTCAAAGTAAATGATGAATGAGTGCCACCTGGCCCCATCCGCCGTGGTCCTTGTAACCCACACTACACAGGGGTCAAGCCATCGTATGGGGCCCCACAATAAACCTAGACAACTTTACTGGGCCCTGTCTCTTGATACACCAGACCCTCCTCCTAAGGACAACTGTGCCCTGCGCGCCCCCCCTGTAATAATGACTAAGGACGAAAGGTTCTCCTCATTGGATTTGCATCTTCAGATTTATTTCACACTTCACACACTTGCCACAGTAGCTTTCCTGTAGTAACAGAACACCAGTGTGGACGGTGTACCTGGCCGACTGATTATCTAACTTACTTGTAGTTAACACAATGACATGCAAGCACCTAGACACACACGAGGTTGGATCACTATACACCTGCGCCTCGTACTATATTGTGCACGTGTGGTGAGGGTCACTATCACTCATACAGCAGGTCTGGTCACACTGTATTCCACCTTGTGTCACACTGTACTCCGCCTTGCGTCACACTGTACTCCGCCTTGCGTCACACTGTACTCCGCCTGGTGTCACACTGTACGCCGCCTGGTGTCACACTGCACTCCGCGTGGTGTCACACTGTGCTTTGAGATACCCCACACGGTGCAACACGCCACAATTCCTTTATGCATCCTTAGAGAAGCTCCTTGTCACTGCTCCATTCACTGCAGACGCCCGCCCTCCCAGTCCTCCAACGCATCGCCCGGGCCCAACCACGACGTGGCCGGCTCCCCGTCTCCGAACTACGCACACAGCCATATGTACAACGGCGGTCAAAATGAAACATCACTACTTCCTTGGATCATAGACATTTTTTGCATGTTGCAACAAAGACAGTCCAGGAGGCAAGTTAGCAGACTGAAGTTACACTAAACCTATAACAAATAAACTTTCAGCAAAACCGTCGGCCCACACGACCTGCGTCCACCACAGCCGAGCCTACTGGAGAGAAGGGAAGGTCCCAGGGTCACCCCCAGTGAGGCGGCTGGCAGCGTTTGTTTCACATGAGAAGCAACGGTTTATACACATACACACACACACGCACACACTTACTGGACTTTGTATATATATATATATATATATATATATATATATATATATATATATATATATATATATATATATATATATATATATATATATATATATATATATATATATATATATATATATATATATATACACATGTTTAAATAGACATATACGTATATATGTATGTATTTATGTATGTATGTACATATACTAAATATGTATATTGTAATAAGTGTAAATATTTTCAGTACCTATAGATTAGTTTAAGTTTATTATGTTGTATTTGTTTGCAATGAAACCTTTTGTTTGTTTTGGTTTAAGTTTCACTGTTAGACGCTGATAAGTTTATTTTTTCACTGTGTAATATTTGTAACATTAATTGTATGTTTTATCTTATATAAAGACCCATAGTGGTGTGTAGTTAACGGTGTGGGTGTTATGTTCACTAATGTTGTGGTCTCTGTGTGTGTCAGTCTGGTCGGTGTGCGTGACGGACCCGGCCTGCCCTCCACCCTCTCCGTGGCGCCCACCACCTCCTCCTCCAGCACCCCCAACATCCCCATCTCCACCCACGGAGTATGTACTTCCAACCCCCGCGATGGACCCATGGGCCTTGGGGCGTCCGGTATGGGCGGCCCCATGCCCAGTATAGGCGGGACACCTATGGGTGGACTCGGAGGGGGAATGGGAGGAAGTTTGGGGGGGTCAAGAGGACCTTCCCCCCACCACACCTCGCCCACACACCCGGGAGGGATCATCACCCCCACCTCAGTCGGCCTACAGGTGAGTCCATCCTTCTCTCTTGTTAGTGCGTCACACACACACACACACACACACACACACACACACACGCTATACTCGCATACTATCTTCTTTCCCTCTGCATTACTGTGTGTCAGGACGTGTGCACCAAAGGTAGGCTCATTGTAGAGTGCACGAGGTCTTCCCGAAACTTTCAGCTGTGCACCGTGCACGACTACATCACCCTCAGTGGTGAACTTACTGGTGCACCATTCACTAACACCCACCACTCCCGACATTCACTGAAACCACAACACCTCCCACCACTCCACCGTCACCCACCACACCACCGTCACCCACCACACCACCGTCATCCACCACACCACCCACCACACCACCCTCACCACCACACCATCCTCACCCACCACATCACCGTCACCCACCACACCATCCTCACCCACACCACCGTCACCCACCACACCATCGTCACCCACCACCCATCGTCACCCACCACACCATCCTCACCCACCGTACCCCTTACCACATCTTCACTCACCACACTTTCTCTCCCTCCCTCATATTTCCTTTCCTTAATTACCTTACTACATCCTCTGTCCTCACGCCGCGACCACACCACCTTCTTCACCTCACAGGCTAATTGTCTTCCCCCTTTCCCGCACTTCACAACCCTCCTCCCCCCACATTACAACCACTCCTCCTCCCCACCTCTTCTTCCCCTCCTCTTCCTCCTCCCCAACATTACAACCCCTTCTCGTCCTCCTCCTCCTCTCCCACATTACAACCTCCTCCTCCCCAACTCTTCCTCCTCCTCCTCCTCCCCCCCCCAACTCTTCTTCCTCCTCCTCCCCCACCACCACCTCCTCCTCCGGTCCATATAAACAACAAGTCAAGAGTCTCCGCCATAGTGTCTGTGGGCTGGTAGACACACGGCCCTCCTTTCAACAATGGTCTGGCAAAACAAAGTCTCCAATTAAAGAACTCCTTTATATTGTCGTGTGATGGGGTTTAGGGAAGGGGTGATGGGGTAGAGATCTAGTGAGGGGGGGTGATGGGGTGGGAGAGGGGAGAGACTATATTGTTTAGAATAGAAGGGAGAAGGGGAGGGAGCCACGGTTCTTCATCTCCTATGTAAAAGGTAAAAACAATAATAATAAAAAAAATCCCTTGAAAACAATAACAACTGAAAGAGAAAAGAAAATACGAGAGAATAGAAAGAAAAAAAAGGGAATTAACAATCTCCCGCTTGACAACATCCTTGGGTCTTATGATACATGAAAGAGAAGTTAATAATAGTGCCATACATAACACCTAACCAATAAGGCGAAAATGTATAACCTAGTCTATGAAATTTAAACCCCTAATGGTTACCGTGAGTTAACACCTTCTTATCCCAAACCTTTCAAATCTCTCTCACACATCAATGGCGTTCATAACATTTTTCAGATTTCATTTTGTATTTTTATTTTATATATTTTTTTTTATTTTGGCCATTAGAGAATCAGCTAAAAGAGGAGATTGAAAATAGGAAAACATTGAGGTGTTTGTAAGATGGTGACGGCAAGAGCTGAGAACATTGGCTAAGTTCTTGAAAACCCTTTACGAGTTTCTTTTA